GGTGTATGGTCTTGGGCCTGGTATTGCAGACTACTAATGTAAATATACATAATAACTTTATCTACATACAGGGTTTCGAACCGAACCGCCAAACCGGAATGAACAGTTATAATTTTCTGAACCGTAACCGAACCGTTATAAAGAAACTATAAAAAGAGCGAACCGAACCGTTATAAATATTTTAAACCGGTTCAAAACGGTTTTAAAAAATAATTAAATTTAAACATTATTAACCTAAATTTGAAATTTGAATTTTCTTTGGGGAAATTTTTAAACTCTTTATTTCTTTTCAAACTGAATTTTTTTTACATGTCAATTAATACCACCATGTTTATTTATTTTTCTTTTTACTTTAATAAATACTCAATTTAATAGAGATTAGGCGAATTACCAGTTAATTAGATAAGAATCTTAAAATCAAACAAGACTATTCTTTAAATTAACAAGTTTATTCTTATATATATATATATGTATATTAGTTATTAATACTTGCTAATAATTTGGGAAAAATCATAATTCTAACTAACATCTAAAGAAAATCAGGTACTGATTACTTTTAATAAAATACTGTTTTATATTAATTTCTTATTAATTAATATTTTCATAATGAATAATTTATAATGACTTAAATGAATATTAGAATTCTGAAATTAAAAAAAAACATATGATTGTTAATTAATATTCCTGTATTTTATGGTTAATTTATTTATTTATTTCCATTTACACTTTAGTGGATAATTTCTTGAAATAATAACTACTTACTGATTAACCTTCTAAATCTTATAGTACCAAATAAAATTTAAACACATGAAATTCAATTGGATAATTATAAAATGATAAAGTATCCATTAAAGTTTTAATTTAATTAACTTTAATTTTTTAATAAAAGACAGTTGTTTTTGGAATTTTAAACAGCTTTTCTATTTCTTTTCTTCTTATTTTATATCTTATCTTTTTGCTTCTTTCTTTTCTCTATTAAATCAAATTATTTATTAAAATGGTATTAGTAAGCTCCATTCACTTATTTAGTTTCATCTGTGTACAAGGTTTGTTGTTAGTATCTTTGAGGAAAAAATCGGCATAATTATATGAAGGGTAGGCCTGCATATAATTCACGTTTTTGGGGGAGATCTTGTCAGATAAGATAAATAAAAAATTATACTGATTCTATTAAGAAATTTATTTATTCTATTTTTATAATAAAAGATTCTGATCTATTCATCATCATATAGCATATTAGTATCTATTAAATGGTTCGGGAAAAGTCAAATCCTGTGCGATCATATTTTAAATTAGATATTGTAAAAAATCAATCTACTTGTAAACTAGAAAACTGTGGTAAAGTTTTAACCGGGGACCATGCAGCAAATCTTGAACGACATATAGAAAGATTCCACGATAAGGAATTCAAATTATTAAAAAAAAAGAAGATAATTTGACTATTAAAAAAACAATAACAAAAAATGCAAATAATCATAATACAATTCAAAATGCTTTTACCAAAACTAATACAATACAAATTAATATTAATAAAGACACTTTAATCCGCTCCTGCACTGAGTTAATCACAGTTCATGGGAGACCAATAAAATCAATTGATGACAAAGCATTTAGAAATATTATAGATCCGATAATTGTAGGATTGGGTGGTAATTTAACCATCAATTCTGAAAATATACGCAATAATATTAAAAAAATGGCATTTGATTTTTCGCAAAATTAAAAAAAAGAAATATACCAAAAACTTATATCGTTAAAATTAGATATTGCAACTCGATATGATAGGTCCATACTGGGGATCAATATTCAATTTATAGATAATGGAGAAATAAAATTAAGAACGTTATGCATGAAAGAGATAAAAGAAAGACATACATCAGAATATCTAAAAAAAATTATTCTAGATGTTCTAAACGAACATGAAATAAGAATTGATCAAATATATACGATAACCACAGACAATGCAGCTAACATGATTAAATTAATCAAGCTGTTAATACATCATGATGAAGAAGATGATGAAGATGATATCCTTAATGATTATTTAGATAATGATAATTTAAATAACAATGATGATATAATTGTTAATGAAAATGAAGAACCTTTTTTTAATATTGAAAGTATTAATCTTGTACCTCATACGAGATCCATGTTAATGGGCATTAGATGTGCCTCCCACACATTTCAATTAGCAATTAATGATTGCATAAAAAATTCAAATGAAATTGTTATTATTAATAAAGCAAGAAACATTTGCAAAAAAATAAGAAATCAGACTACAATGTCTATTTTGTCCAAATTAAATTTAAAAAAGCCACTAATAGATTGTTGCACAAGATGGAATTCAATCTATTTAATGTTGGAAAGATTATTAGAGTTAAAAAACTTTTGCCAAGAAATATCGGCCCAAAGTAATGATCGTGAAAAATGTTTGTCAGAGAATGAATGGAAAATAATTAGTGATATATTAAAAGCTTAATATCCATCTTATATTTTGACAATATATACAAAGTGAACAAATGACCATGGGCGATTTTTATGCAGCATGGATCAAATGTATCATGCAAACTAGCAAAATAGACACTTCATTTGCCAAACTTTTAGTTTGTACAATCAAAGCACGAGAGATTAATTTGAAAAATGAAGTTTTTTGCTCAGCTATATATCTCGACCCAAGTTATAATGTATTTTGATCATTTGAAGAAAAAGATATCGCCAAAAAACATCTTTATAAAACTTGGAACTTAATCCAAAATTTAAATAATCAGAATATTGAAAATCTAGATACTATTCCTACGTGTTCACATTCGAAAGATAACTTAGATGATGATTTTGAAGATTTATTAATGTCGCATGAAAGCCTTAATAAGAATAGTTCTCAGGGCATAGAAAATTATAATAAATGTGTAGAAATAGAGTATATAATTCGGTCATTTGATAATATAGAGAGATTAGAAAAAGATGCAAATCTTTTGAATTATTGGGAAAATGTAAAGAATAGTATGCCAGAACTTTATAAGTTAGCTATGGTTGTGCTAGCAGTTCCAGCTACGCAGGTATCCGTAGAAAGAGCATTTTCTAGCCTTAAGTTTATACTCTCTGCGCAAAGAACTAAATTAAATCCTGAAATATTAGAAAATATTTTAGTTATCCGTTCCAATTCTCTTTTTAAAAATAAATAATATAAATTTCATTATATTTATGTGTTATTTTATTCCTCATTGTATTTGCGCATGTTTGTGTTTATCTTATTTATGAAATAAAAAGAATTGATTTGTCTAATTTATATTTACTAAGTTTAATAAAAATATCTATTAGAATATCATTCATGGTTAAATTAAATAAGAAATTATAAAAAGATTTTTCTCTAAAATTAATATATACATGGTTAATGATTAATTTTTTTTTAAATTAAATTTATAAAAACCGGAACAAACCGAAAAGAACCGTTATAAATTATAAACCGAACCGAACCGATATGATTATTTTTTTAAAAAACCGAAATGGAACAAAACCTTTATAAAATTTTAAACTAAAAACCGGAACGAACCGAACCGTTATACTAAACGGTTCGAAACCCTGTCTACATAATATAAAATTATTTTTAAATGCATTTTAATACATTTGTAATTATTATAATAATTAAATCTTGCTTGATGAAGGTTTTGTAGGGCAATACATATGTATGTTTAATATATTTTAGAGACCTGCAGGCCAGGTCTTAAGTCTGGGCCGGGTACACAAGCTGACTCATATTCTAATTTTTTTAAATATATTTTAGAGACCTGCAGGCCAGGTCCTAAGTCCGGGCAGGGTACACAAGCTGACTCATATTCTAATTTTTTTTAATATAACCAGGCCAGGTCTTAAAAATTTTCTTTTAAAGACCCTGCCCAGGCTTGTAACGGGCAAGTGTATTGGATAACCGTGTTGACCTAATTATTATTTTTATAGACCTTATTTACAACTCATATAAGATAAGTTGATTTCTGACATCCATAATCAAATAAAGGATAAATGTGTCCCCGTCATTCTTTACAGGTTTTCAGCTAGTATATAATAGTCGATAAATTAAATATAATTTTAGAAAAAAACAAATAATGTTTTCTTAGAATTTTTCCCAAATATATAGAATATTAGCCTATTTATGATATAGAATATTAGCCTATTTATGCATAGTGTACCAATGCATAATGTTTTATTATTTGTAAAACTTTAAAAAAATTGAAATAGATCTTATTCAGGTATAACTATTTGTTTATATAATAATAACTTTATTTTTAAAATGAATACGATCTAGGCCCGATCTGGTACAAAAAAAATTATTATAACATAAAGCTCGGCCCACAAAAGAACACTTTATAATGTGGCATGGCTAGAACCATGCAAGTCGGTTCAAGGTTGAAATTAGTCAAAAATATTTAAAAATCGAAAAATTTGTGCTCGGGCTTAAGAAATATTCTAATAAAATAGAAAATAATGTTTTTACTTCTTTAATTAAAAAAAATATTAAATACTATTTTGCTGGGATTAGGAAAAAGCAATTAGTAATTTTTATTTTATTTAACTATATAAATACTTTTCATTTGTACTCTTATTTAAAAATTTTGGAAGGCTTAAAATAAATTTTAAAAATTTTCACCAGGTGCTTAAAAATTAATAAATATTTTGGACCGGCTTAGAAAATAAAATTTTTGACAAGACTATGGCCAAATTTTTCTAAATTTTGCTGGGCGCCTGGTCCAGCAGGAAACCTGATTGTTTACAGGCATCGCCTACTTTTGCAGACCTCTAATATATAAATCTTTTCTAAACAATCTGTAGCAAATATTTTTAAAACAAATATTATGCGCTTTCAAAATTCTGTCAATTTACTTTTATAATCTGTTAATTTTAAAAAAGTTTCACATTACAAGGGACAAGGTCTGCCATTTTGAGCAGATATTTATTTTGAAAATAAAATTTATCTATTTCCTCAATATATTTTTGTGCTTTTTAAGGAACCTCTTAACTCTGAAGATGATGTTAGCGAAGAGGATCCTACAAATTTATTCGATACAGAAAATGTAATTGTATGCCAATTCGAAAAGGTAGGTACTGAATGATATTAATGACATATAATACTATTATTTTATTTAGATAACTAGAAGTCGCAACAAATGGAAGTTTTATTTTAAGGATGGCATAATGAATGTTAATGGCAAAGATTACGTATTTCAAAGGGCCTTAGGGGAAGCTGAGTGGTAATGAATTTGTTGAAGATTGAATATGCTTAATATTATGACGCAATATTATTTAAAATAATTATATTTAATATAATAATTCTAAACAACCTTTTTTTAAATATAAATTGATTGTATAACTAGTTTTGCTCACTTCTTACTACATCTAACTATTTAATATAAATAAAATCAATGCTTTATAAATTTTCAAATGGTTTTTCTGTTTACTTGCTGGGTTGGCCGGTGATTATCAATAAAATATTGGCTCGATCTGTTGCCCAAAAAATATAAATCTTATATTTCCTTCCTATTCTTTCTTATTTGCCTGATTGATTATCACTATTATAGAATAAGTTTAAATAATTACAAGAATTTTAAAAAAATTAGGAGGTTGGAAATATTTAATATTTATTTTTGTATTTTATATTGTAATTATTGAAGCGCCGATTTGATTTGGAGCTGATTTTTAAAAACCGAACCGTGAAACCGACAGAAACATACATTATGAGCAACAATATTTTTATATCAACAAATTCCATTTTAAAACGAGTATTTAAAAAAAAATTACATTATTCTATAAAAAGGACGTTTTAATACTCGTTAACGTTATAATAAAACTACTTTTTTTAGAACAATATTTTGATTTATTTTTATAATATAATATTCGATTATTGTATGGATAACTGTAATATATTTTTTTCCAAAGTAATTTAGTAAAAATTCTAATAACTAAATAAACATTTTCTCATAAATATCTCCCGGAGTCATTATAAATTTTGATGGCGCTATTCACTTAAGGTCTTAATATTTCTATTGATTTATTTTAGTTTTAATATTTTATAAAAAAAATTTCCATACATTTGAAGTAATTTTAAATCTTCATTATCCAAAAAAAATATCTTAAACGCCTTTGTCAAATTATGTATTATTACTTTATAAATTATTATACAATATATATATAATATGTACTAACATGTTATGACACGTTAAATAATTATTTTTATACCTATAAGTAACCTCTTAAGTGTTTAGTATGACCTAATGATTGATTTTTAATTTTTCTAAAAAATTTTTTTATTTCTTTTTAAAAAATATAAGGTAAATTCATTTAGGTAAAAATATAAAGTAGATATTCTCTGTAAAAAAAATAAAAATTAAATTATATAGAAAATGCTCTCTTCGTAGTGGACTTTGTTTAAAAAGAATGGTAAAAATAAAAGTATTGGCATTTTTATCTATGGTGTAATGTTACATATTTTGTTCGAAAACAACGAAAACCCTGTATATGTATAAAAATGTTTGGATAACGGAATTAATATAGAGAAGTAATAACCCTTTGATTCAAAGAGATTTAAATACGATTTGGGTTGGGAACCAATATTAAAATTTTTAAATAAATATATATACATGGAAAAAACTGAAGCAATATTGTTTTAGACTACCTAGATATTTTTCTTGATTCCCTTTTAAATAATAATTAAGAAATTTTGATTCAATCAATAATTTTTCAACAAATCAATACTAAGCCAATCAAATAAAAAATAAACAGTATGATTTTCAAACTTTTATTATAAGAAAAAAACAGTGCAAAAAATTATTAATATTATATAAAAAATTATATATTTTTGAGATTCTCTATGCGCATCCAACTCTTTAGGTATAGGCATGCTTGCACAGTAAGTTTATCTAGTAAACAACGTTGATCAGTTATAACATAACGCCCCTATGAAAACATTCTTTCAGAGCTAGTCGAGGTTACTGGAATTGCCAGATAATCTTTGACAATTTTTGATATATAGGATGTATATTTTAGTGTAATTTCCACCATTCGAGGGGATTTGTATTTTTGGAAAGAGGCTTCATCAAATATTTACTTATTTCAAGTATGCTATTATTATCATGGCTATAATTTTTTTCGACTTGATAAAGAAATTTTTTGATTTACTTTTTGTTTCATCTTCAGATAAAGTGAAATTATTAATTTTATATTTATATATTCTTCTGTTAAACATTTTATCGGATTTCTGAAGTAATATCCTTTAATAGATGTTTTTATTTAGAAACGTGGGTCAATTATTATGTATATATTCTGGTCAAGAAATGTTTTTTAAAGTTTATTGAATTTTGATAATGATTTTAAAAATTGAAAATAAATCCTTATTTTTTTATGGTTCCATTTATGGACTCTAGGGTAGCCATAGCTAAATGTATAACTTGTAGATCTGTGCGCCGCCGCTCCAATACGCCACCCTCGTTAATTTTTGACCATGCCGCCAAAAACGTCGCCGATGGAAAAATTCGGCTGCGTGATACATATTTTTTATTAGAAATAATATATTTTTATTTATTTTTAAAAATAATATTAAATATATTTTAAATTATTATAAAATGCGATTTTATTTTTTGGTATGTGAACTGACAAATATAGACGGCGAATTATATTACCTTTACATTTTATAAAATAGAAAATAATTTTAATATCGCATTATACATTAGCTACGCATATATCACTTGAAACATACCGCCGGAACTATTCTTTCCGTGATAGACAAAGTTGAAAATGAATTTAGTTTAGAGTCTAAAAAAAATTCAAATGGTTACGGATGCAAGATCCAATGTAAAGAAAAGTGTTCGTCTAGGAGAATATGAATCATTTATGTTTGGGGCATGGATTACTTAATCAATCTAGTGATAGTAAGTAGATGATATACATTAAAAAAAGTGAGAAATTATAGTTGTCTTAAGATTCAAAACAGCGGATTTTGAAGATATAATATGGAAAATAGAAAATGCTTTTAATCGATATCATTTACATTGGATATTTTAGATTTGGTTGATAATGATCTATTTAAGAAGATGGTTTAGGATTTGATGATGATAGTTCAAATCAAAATCATATGAGGAAAAACATTAAACCTTAAAAAAATGTGCCTACACGTATTTTTATCCGCCTAAAAGGATATAATATAAATTTATCCTTTTTATTTCTTAGGAAAGTTAAATCATTAAATCGCATCCCTTAAATCAAATATGCTTAATAAATTTGATCATAGATTTCCAATAACCGATCTTCAGGTAATATTTTAAAATTCATAAATTAGTTTTTTTTTATTTTTTTACTCAGGTGTTAGGAACACTTTTGGATTCTCGTTATCAATCTATAAGCATATTAAATGAATATTTTAGATGCAATTTTTGTGTCAACACGCTACCTTTCTGTTGCCTTACACGGATGAATTAACCAACCAGAAGTTGTTTTATAATTCGATTATCTTAACATATTAGTCAAACATTTATCAATTCATCACACTTGAACAATTACACTATTTAACTAGTCTAGAAAAAGATGGTTATTCATTTTCACCTTATAATATCGAGAAAAAAATCTTAGATTTTTGAATGAAAAGAGCATTGGATCTTCCTAAACTTGTAATATTAGCTAGAAAGGTTCTATGTGTTCCAGCTACGAGCACACCCAGCTAGCGTGTATTTTCCATAACTGAGCTCACTCTGAACTCTAAAAGATCATCATATGTCCTATGAATCTATATAAAATAATATTTATACATAATAATTATAACTTAATAAAATCGTTAATTATAGTTATTTAATTCGAAATTTGCATTAATTTTATTTTAAAAGTGTTTTCAATAAATTTATAATTTCAATTTAAAAATTTAAGTTAGAAAAGTATTTGACGCCAACGCCGATTTTTATGCTGGCTTCTAGATCGATACACCGCCGCTCGATCGTTTTTAAAAAAGAAATTATTAATTTATGCTAAGATACATCAAAAACAGGAAATTTTTAAATACCTGTCAACATAATATAGGTACAATTTTAAATACCTGTCAATAAAATATAGGTACAATTTTAAGCATGCCTCCTTAAATAAGTGGGAAATTTTTGAATCATCCATCATCAAATAAAAGGGAAATGTCTATATTATCAAATAGGAGAAAGATCTGGTTATCTACCAGTATTTATAAATTATCTTTACAAGCCAAGCATACTTATTTCAATCATTTAGTTATACAGAGAATAAAAACTTATGATTTTATTTCATTACTAGCATATGCATAGTTTCAATTACTAAATATATACTTCGCTAAAATATTTATAAAGAATTGACTTTATTTTATAAATAAGATTTACAAATATCTTCAAAATATTATGCATAGATGAAAGTACTAGATATATACTTTACTCTCCATTAGCAACACAGGGGCTATCATACTATTGATTTAGTTAACTTGTTCAATAATATAAAATATTTTTTGAAACCATTTATGAAGGATCGAGTCCAGCTTTCCAAATTGCTGAACAAATTCAAAAACTATGATTGAAATAGTTGATTATAAAACTCTTAATTTAATTTATATTAAAAAATCCAATAAAATTTTTTATAAATAGGCATTCTGCATTAACTATACTCTAAAGCTAGGTCCGTGAAGTTTGCGGAACGACCTGAGAATCACTTAACAAAACCTATGCCAATATTTAGAGTCATAATTGATCTTCAAACATGACATCGGCGGAATTAAAGCTTAGTGAGTTATAAGCAAAATAAGAAAAGTGTGAAATTTTGGAATCAATTACCAAAATCTATGCCATTGTATAGCCTGTTAATTGATCTTCAATTCGGACAACAACGGAAAAAAACGTTACTGAGTTATAAACAAAATAAGATAGTGTTGGCACTTTGCCAAAACCAAAAATAGGAAAGTTCAATTTCTAAAACTTGGCAATTATTTAGTATTCGATTTATGCTTTAATATTCTCCAAACCGAATATCCCTAACCGTAACTGAGTTATATCTTTAAAAGCGTTAAGATGACGGAATTACTTGATTGAAAGTGAGGGTCAATTACCAAAATATATGCCAATGTGTAGTTAATTGATCCTCCAAAATCTTCAAATCGTATACCAGCGGAATGAACGGTTCTTGAGTTAAGGTAAAATAAAAGTTTTGGCATTTTACCAAAATTTAAAATTTTAGCAATCATTTTTTAGTTAAGGCCAATATTTAGTGCCTTAATTGATCCTATGTATTCTTCAAACGGAATTTCAAAAAAATTAAAAGGATGTGGTTATCAACAAAATAAGGAAAGTGTGAATTTTGAATCTGGTGGAACAACTTAAGGATCAATTATTGACACCTAGCCTTTATGTAGCCCGTTAATTGATACTAATTGATCTTCAATCCAAGAACCGAATAAAACATTAATGAGAGTTATAAGCAAAATAAAAAAGTTTTGGCTATTTGCGAAAATCAAAAATAAAAATAGGTCATATTTTGAAAGCTCTATGAAGTTGGTCTAACTATTGAAAGCATTGACGATGAATAGCCATTTTTTAGTGGTTCAATCTTATAGTGGGCGAAGTTAGGGGAAAAAGTTATAAGTAAATATAAAAACTTTGGTCAACTTCACCCTTAAATGTCTATTGGAAGCACTAATGATGAGTCTTATATCATTCTTTAGTTGTTCATTAATGCTTCAATCACTTTTATAGGCTGAGAAAAATAAAGTTATTAACGAAATAAACAAAAAATATATCGGCACGCCAAAACAAAAACTAGAGAAGCGGCAAACATTTTATTTTTGTCATTATTTAGTGATTACTTTTAATTTAAATTTCATATTTGATTTGATTAACCGCCATATAGGTCAGATTTTGACATGAGAAATTTTGGATGCATTATGGAACATATA